CAACAGTAATCATCAAGACAGCCAAGTATTTTCGCAATGAATACTGTTTTCGTTGCAATAATTTGGTCAGAATCAAGCTTGCTAATAAGGAACCCTTAAAAAATTGTATCCATTATTACATCATTATGCTACCAAATTTGGTTCTCAGTGAAGAATGTTTTCGTCTCGTATTCAATTTAATACCTACAGTAACTACTGCTCTAAATAATGTCACATCCCACGGCTTTTCCGTAAAATTATTTTTCGAAGGTCTTTCAAATTACAAATTCAAAAACTCACTGAACGAAAAATAATGTGCAGTGGAACTGGAACATGAAAGTTTAAGGCTTGATTATTGATAACATTCACGAAAAAGAATGTTATCACAGTTGGTAAATAACCGCTGAAAAATCAAAAAATCAGTATGTTATCATTTCATCAAGAAGTACTGAATAATATATTGCGGAAAAACAGAATGTGATGCGAATTTACAATAAATGTCAAGGATTAAAAACCTAGAACTTTAAATGTCAAGAATCGAAAGCTTACAACTTGAAACATATTATGCAACCTCTACTACCTGATATACTGAGGATGGATATTGCTCCTTTCCACTGCTTAATAGTAAACAACTTTTGATTAAACATAGCTACAACCCAATTTTAACTTAATAGTTCAGACCAAAACATTATTAAAATTGAAAGCTTTTATCATACCGTATAGGGATTTTATTGGGAACAGCAAAAAATTTGGATGTAAATATGAGTCCTTCCAATGATATGAACAAAAATGTTGAAAAAGTCATCAAATTCATTGAACCTGGTTGTTCTCTGCATAAATTCACGTGTTTAAAAAATTACATGAAACAATGCAAATTGAAACAAAAAAAAACTGATAGCAAGCAATTTACAATCATTACTTTTTTCAGACAGCAGTAAGTATTGAATTCCACTTTTATTAAATAATAAACTGAAATGGTACTTAATCCCTTACTGTTCACTAGAACATACTGGGAAAGTTTAACTAAAACAGCTGTTCAGTTTGCTTAAACTAATTCACCTGCAAATAATTTGAACTAAAAAGCTTAAAATCAGTGAGGTATTCACAGAACCATCCTATAATTACAAAATAATCAAAAAGTTTTACAAAAAATAGAAGCTCTTAAAAGCCAAGAATTGAAACACAAACTTTGCAATGGACTCCGTGAAGTACATACAACCGATACAACCAGCCAAAGTGCCGGAAATCGGATAAATAACAGAATACATGCTGGAAAAACATATGGTTCGTCAGCAATAAAATAATTATCTTTCATACGTAAAATTCGCACTAGCAAATAAAATGCTAGCACTCACCAGTGATTCACTGGCACACTTTAAAACACTGATGTTTTATTTTGTGATAACAAGTTCGTTAATTTTCAAGATTGTCAGTACAAGGTTTACACACTGTTTTTCATCACATAAAATTAAACAAAGTGAAATACTGAAGAGCTTTTATCAGAACTGATTGTGAACTTTTATCAAACTAGCAATAAAGGAAAAATGAATCAAGAATACTTACTATCAATCTCAAATTAATACAAAAAATATATTTCCTAACCCAGACAAAATTCACTGTTAACTTTAAAATAATGACAAAATCATAGCTGCAGATAATTCCGAATCTTCTAAAATCTTCATAAAAATCCAAAAATTCAAGTTTTACCACTGTCAAGATCTCATTTATCTTATTAGTAGAATTGTTAGTTTGAAAATTTATCAAATTTATCATTAATGTAATAGCTATTTTTGATAGTAATTCCACTAGTATAATACAAAATAAAATAATCTTGAAATTTCTCGTTGCTGTTAACTTTTGGTATGATAGTACCAACCAAGAGTCAAATTCTTCGCAAGAATGATCGCTAAAAGATAAAATATGTGAAAGATTGTATCAGTAGCAGATGTTGCTAGTGCAATGCGCTATTTTCATGCGACAATTTAAATGTAATCGAATATTTAAATTCCTCATTATTAAAGTGGAACGAATAACAAGTGAAAGTAAAAATTTATCGAATAATACAACAATTTATAAGGGAACTAACATATACGTCTTACTTTAATCAACGGGCCGTAATATGATAATCATACGTTTTCCACTACTCACTCGTTCACTTAGTAATCATTTCCAATTTAACGAATTTTCCTAAAGTGGAGATGATTACTAAGCGAATAACTAGTAGTAAAAACTTTACTAAATAGTGCACTTCAAATTCACGGATCAAACAATTGTATGAAGTTAGAAGCTAATGTAACTCCACTACTATATTATCATTTTTTAATATTACAAACACTTAAATACCAAAATAAGTGAAGAACCTAATTATGCTCCTTTTTAAGTAAAAAAAAATTAAATTATACTGTAACAATGAAAGCTTCTTCGAATGAGGTAGCAGACATAGTTCTTTCCGCGAAGCTTTCATATTACTTCTGTTCAAGTGCAGCATTCTGCACGACATATTCTACTGCAGTTACAAGCCTTCGAAGTGAAAAAGAAAGAACACTTACCCAATCTGAACTATAACTCCTGAAAAAATATATAAGGGAGAAAAAGTTGCAAGAAAGAATTGTCTGCATATATGGATTAAGTCTTCTGAACTCGAAATTAAAAATAACTAAATAGTATAAGTAATGAATAAAAACGAAATGCTCATAGTTTGGCAATACTAGATGTATTAAAAATTATACAAATATAAAATAGGACAAACTAATAAATGTAGAATTTTAATCGAAAATCTATGATCCTTCATTTCCACACTGCAACTACTTTTGTTTTACTCCTAACAAAATCATCATCACGTGGAAAATAGATGCGCAAGTCACGCAACCATTACTTAACTATAAGTAAATTCACGCTGCTACTTCTGATATATTTACTTTTCCTAACAGATATGAAAACTGATGCGCTTTTTTCAGTGTCACAACCTGGATACGGAAGCAGCGCTATTAAAACGAATGATACACGTAAGTTACACGTTATTAAAATGGTAGTTTGATTATATCATAATGATATAACCTTCATCGCAATATCATACGATAATATAACTTTACAAGCTTTCTGCATTCATCAGTGTATTAAACTTCTTTTATCGATGGGAAATGAGACTGAAATAAATTAGCGTCGCAAATATGTGAATAGAAAATTTGTTCGACTATTTCAATCAAAAAATAACACAAAACTGTTACTGTCGTTTATGTCATCACAATCGATTGCAGATCATTCAAACGATGAATTTTACAACTGGCTTTTCTTGAGTCAAAATACTCTCGGTTATGATGGCACAGCACGATGGCCTACATATGGATATAATCCAAACCTGCCATATTTTAAAATTAAACCAACAATCGCTACATAGAAGGATGATAATATTTCGTGAATTCCATCCTGCTAAGAATTTTATAGTTTAATTTGTACTTACACAAATTTAATAAAAACGACACTGGCCTAAAAGAATGCTTTTGTGCCTAACTTAATTAATTTACTCTACTACGAAAACTTGTTCTACTCACTATTTACGAATGCACACTGTTTTTCGATCACTGAATGCTTTTTTTTGCACTTGACATTTGAGTGTACTTACAGAATTTATCAGAAAAAGTGACAGAAACCAAAAATGATATACAATCCCCTTCATCACCTAACAATTGAATAATTTATCAAAATCCCAAACACCACATTTACGTTCCCATGTTCGCAAGTGTTTGTCTTTGCAAATGAAATTACATGCAACCACAAAACAATCGTAGGATAAACAACAAAGTACTCAAATATACTGAGCACAAAACGTAAGTATATCTAGAAAGAATCCGACATGTTCAGTCTCAAAATTAAGAATTCTTTCAGCTTTTAAATGCATGAAAATTCGTGATAAAATAAATAAATAAATAGATAGATAGATAAATAAATAAATAAATAAATAAAACATATTAAGTCATGGCCTTTTGTACTTTAATCAAAATACTTCCCGTAATTTGTAGATAAAAACTAATCTGAAATGAGTAATTAACCAATGGATAACATGTAGCAATCATAAAGTGTAAATAAGCTGAAAATGGAATAAGCAGATAAATCACACCTTATAGAAGTATGTCAATAAAATGATAAAGCATGTCAAAATTGGGACACAAGCACAAACTGCAATGAAAAATCCACTCCAGTCATTCTTAGTTAACACATATAATAAAGAAGCCAGCTTTCCCTAAAGCACACTGGTAAGCACTCATATTTCAGTTCACTGAAATATTCCTATTTCATTTAACTTATGCCATTACTAATATTTGAAAAAATTATGAACCCTTTTCTTTTTTCGTCCAAATACATGTGAAGGTCTGGAAATCACACGAGTGGACAATATTACATGGTCTAAACAACTGAGACAAGAAAGCCTTCTGTCTCACAAATGTACTAAAACCTGGCACTTTCTTGTTTTTATCACAGAGACTGTTCACAAGACTTTAATGAAATATGAACTTTCCATCATAGTGCAATTCCTAAAAATACGTAATAAGTAACTAACAATCTAATCCTTTCTTATTCCAGAACTCACGATTATTTCAGAGATAACTTGTAATGTCTTTTTTTGTTCTTCTAGCTACAAATACTTTGCTTCACTAGAAATAACACTTCCTAATCTGATTTTCAGAATAGATTATACAGCACCAATCAATATAACACGAACGAGAGAACAGAAACTTCGTTATAACGTTTGTTGGATGCACACAAACCATAAAAACTAAATATGGAAAATATACTGTTCATTTTTCCAAAAAAAATATTAAATAAATAAACTTTGTTTCTTTTCCCTATCCAGCCAGCAGTAAATTTTTCTTTTAATTTAAACAAACAAAATTATCAACTAACTTCACCAAGTTTTCAAATTTCGCTACATTTTGAGCTCAACTAATAATAAAACTATAAGGGAAATGAAATTTAAATCTAAAAATTTACATGAAAGATATTTCCATTTCTTGCATTAAGTAGACTCCAAATTAACAATTCTTTGGATATATTGACATAAAGCAAGTGATTTTTCATACCTATTTCGTGAATGACACAAGATAAAAAAGAAAAATAAGAAGAAAACAGAAAAGGTTCCCCTTTAAAATATGCAGAACATCTCTTGTTTATCCATTAACAAAGAACGCTTAACAAGATCATTTCGAAGCCCAGATAACTGCTGATCTTCATGAGTTTTAGCACTGCGTGATATCGTTTACCTGCAATATTACTGTTATTTTTTGTTTTAAGTGAAAAAAATTGAGTATTAAACACTATTTCAGTTCCCGTTGTCAAACCAAAACACCATTAATGAATTGATCTGTTATATATATTACAATTACTCTGACAGATAGCATAGATGACTTCAATGTAAATAACGTAAATGTTGCTCAGGACAAATATGCCTTGTCTTCATATTAAATTATGTAACAGATTTCCAATTTCCTCGTATAAACATTTCCTTCATTATATCTAGTTCAATTATAATTTCATCTTTAACTGACAAAACTTTTTTCAATTATGATAAAAAATGAACATCGTTGACCAAATCGAGATCTAAACAATAGATCGTAGAGATAGATGTAAAGAAATATAAACGTACCTGCATAATATCATTCATTTACTCTAGTTATATAAGATGCAAAACTTAATCGGCAAATCATCTAAAGTGCTTAATCATATGACGATATTTACAATTTTGAGAACAATAATTCTTGTGAATTAAGCAACATTATTATAAAATTAAGTTCAGAAAGGTTAATGACCCAAGAAAAAAATTTACAAAGATTACTTGCATGCTGCTGTGTTTAAAAATAATCGGTATAATTACATGTTGGAGCAACAAATAAATATTGAAAAATGAATTTGGCTATTTCCACAAAATATGTATTTATTGAGCAAATGAAAAGACAGAATCAAAATTACGACGATCACTCATGCGATACTGAAAACCATATTTATGCTGAAACAGTATTTTAATATGAAAATGACCAACACTACCTGGAAGATTGATGGAAATCAAAAAGAACAATCAAAATGTAATTTTTTGGACTTAAAAGTATTTACAATGCTGAAATCGGTTAGATTTTGATATCCAAAAGCAAACAAATGCAATCGTTAAAGGATGCAAAATTAAAATGAAAGCCAAAACATGCTATAAAACGAAGCAGTGAGTTTTATACATATGAATCTTTAAAAAGAGAACACAAATCTCATTCAGATGCATCCT